TCAGGAGGAAACGGCCCTCCAAGCTCATTGCAACCTCAACTTCCCCATAATGGCCTTGGGCCCCAGACTGCTCGGCAGGATAACCCACTTTCAGTCCCTAGGATGGACCCCGCTCCACGGTAGCCCATGGAGAAGCCACGTCTTACTCTGCTTCTTAAAGCGTTGGATAGATTATGGAGCTATGTACTGCACATGCTCATTATTAACAAACCAGAGAAAATTTTAACAGCGGAAAGCGAGAGGAAAAGTAAACGGCCTTCCCAGCCCAAGTAAAACCAACATCTAGCAGGAGCTGGAGAGTGTTCACTCAAAGGCAGGGGAATAGGAACAGGGAGATGACCTTTTCATGGCTCCTGGGCAGTTGATGGCATGAGAAGTCTCAGCCCTGATTCCTTACAAAAGCATACTCAGACTTGTACCTCTCTGGAGGCTCATCTCAGGATCTCACAGCACTTTGCAAATATTAATTAAGCATCACAACAAAAAGTGGATCCACGACTTGGCCAAGGTGAAAAACCTGCCTCCAGGGGCTGGCAGGTTCACCTGGGGAAAGCAGAAGAGACCAGAAGGTTGGTCTCCTATCAGGACATGCTCCACCCTTTTAAAGTCCTAATCCACCCTCACCTGTCCCAGTTCAGAAACCTTCTCCTCCCTGGCAGAATGCCCCTAGAGCAAAGCAAACTCCTTAGCCAATAACCAGGCCCTCAATATGTTCTGGGGGAGGGGAGGAAAGAGGGGCAGACTAGGCTCTGCAAGGTAGAAGCCACGTCTTACTCTGTTTCTTAAAGCGTTGGATAGATTATGGAGCTATGTACGGCACATGCTCATTATTAACAAACCAGAGAAAATATCCAGGCGTCTCCTGTTTTGCATTTTAGGCACACGGGCAGGGAAGAGCGGGTCACAATATGGGGCTGGCAGTCCAGAGACATGGCTTCGGTCCCTGAGTTTGGGCTCTGCCCTAGGGGTAGCTGTAGTCTAATGGACTGAGCATGGGGCAATGAGTCAGCATGATTTAGATTCTGCTATTGACTCATCTTGGACAACTCATTGTCTTGCTCTATACTTCATTTCCCCTCCTCTATCTAGTGAGGATCACGACCCTCGCACCCTCCCTTTGTAACGTGCTTGTAGAGCGATGGATACAAAATGCAGTGTCCTTCTGGCTCACTTCCACACTCTAGACTCAGCCAGCGCAGGCAGCAAAGTCTACAGAATAGCTGGTACGCGGCTGGGTTGGTTGGAGCCGCAGGCTTTGATGGGCTGGGTACTCTCGGTTGTGCACAGTCTGATAGTTGCATCACTGCACAGTTGCTCTGATGAGCTTAGTGTTTCTGTTGTATGTTTCTAAATTATACGAGTAGGCACTGGGGGAAACCAGAGGAAAACTATGCCATTACAAAAACAAGGAAGGAGACCGGTGGCACCTGAAGAAGTGGGTTTTTTACCCACGAAAGCTTATGCCCAAATAAATCTGTTAGTCTTTAAGGTGCCATCGGACTCCTCGTTGTTTTTGTGGATACAGACTAATCCGGCTACCCCTCTGATACTAAGCAATTACAAAACAACAAACCAGATGGATCTTCCCTTTTCTCTTCTCTTATCCCTCCCCACCCCTTTTCACTCTGCTGCTACCCTGTGAACAGCACAGCTCACTAGTAAGTGATAGGAGTGTACCATCAGAGGGATATAGGGGATGCAGCTGGCAGAAGGACAGGTACAGTAACGCCTCACTTAACATTGTATTTATGTTCCTGAAAAATGCAACTTTAAGTGAAACAATGTTAAATGAATCCAATTTTCCCATAAGATTTAATGTAAATGCGGGGGGTTAGGTTCCAAGGAAATTTTTTTGAGGCAGACAAAAGGCATTATATACTGTATAGTACTGTACTGTGGTTGGGAAGTGCCCCAGGCTTACCCCACACAGGCACAGCCCGCTGCAGGCAAGAACGCTAGGAAACACCTTTGCAGCAGCAGCGGCTGCTTCCCCGGAGAAGAACAGGCTTGGACTTTGCCAGGAATGCTCTAGGCCCGCCTCTTCCTGTCCCCGCTCCACTCCAGGCCCACCTCTTCCCACCCCCACTCCACCTCCTCTCCGGAGGACGCACAGCTGTTTGGCGGCGCTTAGGACTTTCTGGGAGGGAGGGGGTGCGGAGATGCAGCGCTTCCCCGCTCCTGCCCCTCCCTCCCAGAAAGTCCTAAGCGCGAAGTGCTGGGAGGGAGGGGAAGGAGCGGAGAAGCCCTGCGTCTCCACTCCTCCCCCTCCCTCCCAGAAAATCCTAAACGCCACTAAACAGCTGTTTGGCGGCACTTAGGATTTTCTGGGAGGGAGGGGGAGGAGTGGAGACGTGGAGCTTCCCTGCTCCTCCCCCCTCCCTCCCAGAAAGTCCTAAGCGCCGCCAAACAGCGGGGGAAGCGCTGCGAGGGAGGGGGAGGAGGCGGAGAAGCGGAACTTGTGCAATGCTCTCTTGTAAAGACGCTGCTCTTCCACAGAATCTTACAAGCAGGCAGCCAAAGGATGTTATAAGGGAGGATTGCACAACTTTAAAGGAACATGTTCCCTAATTGAGCAGGGACGTAACATTGAAACAACATTAAGCGGGACGACGTTAAATGAGGAGTTACTTTAATATGGAAACAGATAGACCTGGCTATCGTCTATCTAACTCTGCTTTAGTTGAATCTAGATGGCTAGGTGACTCTTTGGCCATGTTTCTCAATGGTACTTAGTCACATGCACAGAGTTAAGCATGTGCGCATTCCTGTTGAAGTCAAAGGGATATTGGATACCATGGTGATAGGCAGATGCTTAAAGTTACACACATGCTCATTGGCTTAAAGTTACACACATGCTTAAGAACCTTCCTGAATTGGGGCTTCTGATATCATGGAAACAGGCAGATCAGAAATAGGATAGAATTGTTGGAAAGAAAAACAATCCTCCATTTTTGAACTGCCCATGGTTGCATTTGTGCTCCCACAGGAATGACAGCGTCACAGCCTAAGAAACATTGTCCTCAGCCATTCACAGAGCCTCCCACTTGTAGGTGATGGGAAATCCACCTGACATCTAAGGCTTAACCAGGGATAAGCGGCTGGGGCTTATTGCTCCACAGACAAGATCTGCAGCGTCCGAATCACGTTTGCACAGCCAATCCTTGCTGCCCCAGATCAATGTATCGGTTTCCAATTAGGTTAATGGTACTGCAATAACTTCAAAGCAACCCCAAATCAATTCCAATAGCCAACTCTGCGCCCTGCATGCTAGACAAAAGGCAGGCTGGAGGAAGATGATCTAATATGCCATTTATTGATTAATAAGTCAAAACCAGGACTCTAATGGGCTTTTCGCATGATTGTTGATTGTGGAGAGAAGAGAAAGGGTCAGTGAATGGGTCTGGGGGGACTGGCTGTGTGATGAAATAGGCAGGGAGTGGAGGGGGGAACACGGCTGGGAAGTGAGGCCTTCGCTCCACCTCGCGGTTGCAGACTTCTGCGACCAATCTAAATGGGCCGGCGATTGTCGAGAAATGAAGACTTGTGCAATGAAGAGAGAAGGGAATAAATGAGATGTATCGGCTTCAAATAAAGCAGAATTGCACCTTACAGTTTACCGTGCTTGCTGCTAACCATGCTGTCCTGCTGTCATAGAACTATCCAGAGGGAAGGGGTCCCATAGCCCAGAATGAAATGGTTTTTAAAACACTGAGCACAGCTAAAGTCTTCTCATAGGTCACTGGCTGTGCCCATTCCAATAATGCTCAGTAAATGCAATTGTCTGACTCTTTCCCTTATGTCTAAATTCCATTCCACGATAAGCAATAAAACCCATTAGGCCTGTAAAGCAGGAGGTTGCAGCACTTCTGGAGTGGTTACAAGTCACATCGCTTTTGGCCTCATGCTTTACAGCACTACTCAAGGCACCCTATAAACGTCTCCCTGCCCCGAAGTGTGCTGCTGCATTGGCTATAATCACACAAACCCCTCAATTAAATACAAAACATTTCGGTGTCACTAGCACTCATGAGCGTGTTCTACCACCAGCGTGCTCTACTCCCTTGTGCCGAGTGCAGTCACTTACATGGCACAAAGAGGGTTCAAAACGGCTGGAAAATACTCTCAGATCTAAACTGTAGCCTTTTGTACCCACTTTGCACACGTGTAAATGACTAAACAAAGTGCAAGGCAATGAAGGTTCAGACCCAAAAGACCACATTCATCCTGGGTGCAGCTCCGCCCAAGTCAGTGGAGATACGGCAGGTAAGAATGTGGCTTGTAAAATGCTCCCAGAATAACCCAAACCAGCCCTCCATTTGAGACCATCATCTACCTATGTTCCTTCAAGCATGTTACAATACACAGCACTAGGTGTATGGGAAAGCCCTTAGATACAAGAGACGAATGTCAAGGAGTCACTGATTGTGCCACTTCTATTAGGCCTTTGATGAAATATATTCTATAAGAAATAGTGAGGATGGACTCAACGCTTGGAGCTCCTACAATGGGATAAACCCATTTGGTGTGAAACTGCATCAGTACATTGCAATGTAACCTGATGACATTTTGGCATGGTATCATCATGGTGAATCAAAAGTCACTACATAGGTATGCAAATACAAGGAATGCTGCCTCAAAATGCCATCTCTCTGGACTGCGATAATGATTGGTGGGACCCGTAAAGGATTATAAGGCATCAAGGAATGTCCTACAAAGCACAGTGCTCGCGGGCCACAGGACTGCCTTAAGAAAATTGGGACAGTCCCAAAAAAGCCTGGGCTGAGGGCTATTGATGGAAAAACACCAACCAGCTGATGTGTTTTGCAGTTCAAGCCAGAATTCTAATCCTATCTCAGTAAGAATGAACCACTGACAAGTTCCTCCTTGTTTTGTTCTCCACACTGGGAATCTGTGCGAAGCCTGCCCCCGCAGTGGACTAGAAAAACGCAATTCACACATCGCCCGGAGATCTCTTTGTGGATATTGTCTGTGATACTCACATTGTAGAGGATGTCAGTCCAGCCCTCCATGGTGATGCACTGGAAGACAGTTAGCACAGCAAACAGAATATTGTCAAAGTTGGTGATTCCATAGTTGGGGCCTGGCCAGTATTTCCTGCATGTGGTTCCATTCTCACATTGCCTGGCCGGGGGATCCTCTCCACAAGGAAAATCTCCCACCTCCTCACCTGCAGAGACAAGAGGGGTGGGGGAGGGAAACAGTTACTGATCAAAGACTCCCAACCATACCGGTATCACTGAGCTCTCACCAAACTGCCTCCAGGAAAAGCAGGGTCTGATTCTCATTTACACGAAGGTTCCTTTATGCTACTTTGGGATCTTAAAGTGGGTGTAGCTATAATGTATGCCCACGTAAGGCCCTTTACATTGCCAGGGGGTGGGTGATAGGGGCTTTAGTGACAGTGTAAATGAAAATCAGGCCCCATGTGTCCAAAACCTAGAGCCCACAACGGTGTTAGTGCCATGTTTGGGGCCCCAACTGAGCAATACTATAGCGTTAATGGTCAGAGTAGACCAAGGAGATGCCCTTGATTTAAAGCAGAATGAATACTGTGATTCAGGGACATACTGTAATGTGTAGAAAAGTGCTAAGTATTAACATTACTACTATTGTATCATAGAATATCAGGGTTGGAAGGGACCTCAGGAGGTCATCTAGTCCAACCCCCTGCTCAAAGCAGGACCAATCCCCAGACAGATGTTTACCCCAGATCCCTAAGTGGCCCCCTCAAGGATTGAACCTATAACCCTGGGTTTAGTAGGTCAATGCTCAAACCACTGAGCTCTCCCTACCCCCCCCAAGTGATGAGGGACAGAAACACAAAGATTATGAGGCAGGTTCTCCGGTCTGTTAAGGCCACTTAGCACAGCAGCTGTCCCAGCAGAAGGGGCGGGAGGGAGAATGTTGAGGGTGTTCCAAGGGCGAGGTCATGAAGGGAGGGGCAGAGCAAAGCTAAACCCCATCCTATATAGTGTATGTTTACGCTTCTCGAGCTGGGAATCACTCCCCAAGCTCGGAGACAGACCCACGCTAGCTCTGATCTTGCTAGCATGCTGAAACCAGACGTGTAGCCATGGCAGTGGGAGGGCCTAGCAGCCCCGAGTCTGATCCCGCCCAGGAGAGGCGCTACGCACTCAGACGGCTAGCCCATCCCACCGCTCACGCCACCCGCTAGCTTGATCATAGCTAGTGTGGGCATGTCTACTCAAGCTGGACATAGATCTCCAGCGTGAAGTGAAACCGTACCCAGAGGTACAAGGAGTGCCTAATGCCAGCGGTGAAAGTTAGAGCTGCACCTAAACGGCTCTAACTTTTCCCTGGGACCAGACAGTAGGACAGAGAGGAGAACTAAGCCCTGTAACTTCAGCAATGCAGGCCAGAGGCTCATGATACCATAGTCCGTGTAGCACAGCTGAGAGCATGCTAACCTCTGGGACCGAAGGCAGTGGGTTCATGTCTCTTAGCAAGTTTTGTGCTCCTCCCCAGTGCAAAGAAGGCAATGCTGAACTGCTGTAGGGGCCATCTAGCAGGGAAATATTCAACAGAGGCTCTGGGGCCAGGGCATACCAACTCCCTCCTGGCCCATGTTGGAGAGTGTAGAGGAGGAGGCTGGCATGCCCTTTCCAATGCGACTTCTCTCATTGAAACAGGTTTTCATGTCCATGGCTGCCAAGCGCTGAACATAGAATGGACTGTAAGCCCTTGTGGATGGGACTGTCACTATGTTACATGTTTGTACAGAGTCTAGCGCAGTGGGGGCCCCGTCTCCAGGCACCACCACAATACAAATAATAAATGAATAACTACTACTAATGGCTGCTCTGCTGGTCCTACACAATCACTGCAGTAGTCATCCGTATTTAATTCATTTGTAAAGCGACCCTGAGTACGAAACACAGTCTCTGTTCTATGGTGGTTGTCCTCCAGCCCTACTGAAGGTGAAGGTAAAGACTTCTACCACTCAGGAAGACCTTAGAGGATGTATGGAAAGGGTGAGCTAGCACATCCGAGACAAGACCAGAAATATCCACTCAGTGTCGTGAATAAGCAAAGAATGATTGATTCCCCCATCCCGCTGGCTCTGAGCAAGGTCAGAAATAGCAATTTGTTGTCATGACTAAGCAAAGATCGACCACCTGTCAGGTAGACACTCAAACCCCCTCCTCTCCCACCAAAAATTAAAGTCACTTTATATCCATATTCCTCTTGGTTTCCATGCTCACTGTTATCTAGAGCAGTTATTACTCTACCGCCTTGCAGTTGATGGAGAAGCTTTGGGAGCCCAGGGCTGGATTCTCAAAGTAAATAAACTCACCAGGCCACGTTTTTCATTTATACGAAGGCCCCTTTATAACACGCTGGCAGAGGAAAAGGTCCTTACAGAAAGACACTGCGAGGGCAGGGGCAATGAGAATAGGACTTTACTAAATCAAATTCACTGAAGGGGGAAAAAATCAGTAATAACAATAATAAAATAATAATAAATAATAATAATGATTACACAGAAAGAAGCTTGCAGAGGAAAGTCTGGCAGCCTGGCTCTGTGGTATTTCACAATACGGTGTGTGCAAGCAACCTTTTCCCATCTCACCAGCCCTTTACTACAAGGTTTTGCCCTCAGGCTCCCGTGTGGGTCGCTTTGGCTCTTGTAATGGATGTTGAAGGGTTTACTGAGGCAAGGCAGCAAGAAGAAAGAAGAAAATAAAGTCTTTGAGGACAATTCTCCAGGGGCCCCTTGGAAAAGCGCGGCCGGCTTTCTGACGTTTGGCCTTTTGTTACAAGGTAATCCTTTCTAAAGGCAATGAACATCTATTACTACATGTATTGATTACCTTATGAGCAGGAGACATGACAAGCAAGTCGGGTCTTCTAAAGTCCATGTGAAAAAGAGAATGCAGGGGAGGGAATCGGAATTAGCTATGCCACCTACTATTTTTTTTAAAAGTTTGCAAAGTGATGCGGCCAAATTATCATCATTTGCATCCCAGTAATGACTTGCCAGCTGCAACTGAGATTAGGGCCCCATTGTGCTAGGAGCTGTACATGCACAGCCTAGAGTAGGGCTCTGCAAATCACTGAATATGCTTGTTTCAGACATGCTGAAATGAAGAGTTTTGACATTTCTGAAGACATTTCCTTTTTTCCCCATGACAAACAATTTGGCAAAATCAGTCCAAATTCTCAAATTCTTTCAGTCAACCTGAATCTGCATTGTTTGGTGAAAAAAGGGATCACAAGAAATATTTTCACCCAGCTCAAGTCTAGAGTTCTTGTAACTGAATACTAGTTAACTCAAGTTTTTAAATGCTAACCTGTTTTTAAATCCATGCCACAAAGTTTGTCCCAGGATACAACTAAACCACAAAGGTTTGCATCACAGAACAACGGTTTGGGTCACATCTAGATGAGTCTTTTAGCAACTCAAGTTAACAATCAATCAATTAACTCAAGTTAAAACAAACCTCTCGTCTACACAAACTCAAAAGGAGAGACCCCAAAGAGTTCCCAATCTGATCTCAGCTATAAATCCAGGATAACACGATTGATTTCAATGGGATTATTCTGGATTTTGACACTGGTGTAACAACGCAGAATTGGCCCATAATCTCTAGTGCATGTTTCAAAGGACTAGGTAGGCGTCCAAAGGAAAATTCAGAAACGGGTGTGGTGCCTTCCTATCTCAAGACAATTTTGTAGCCATAACTTCTGGAGTCTGGTAAGCAGGGAATGATGAATGAGAATATGTGCAAATGGGTGTGCATAAAAGAATTCTCTGTGTCAGCAACACATGAGTGCATGGAAGATTATGGAGAGTGGAAAAATATCTCACATATTCACTGAAAATCGCACACTAATGTGTGAGTCTATCTTAGACTTTTGCCTGGTTTTCACCAAAACAAAAAGTGTCTTTTCCATAAGCTCAGAACAGCCCATTGTGCCATATTACTAAAGCTGTGTCGATGTGGGCCATGACATTTCCATTCATATCCCATGAGCTCACCGGCTTTCTGAATTACTGCTCTTTGCTTCTTGGGTTCCATAAGAATCCCAAGTGACTGTTTCATTTGGGGACTGGGAACAAGGCCAGGCCTGAATCCCCCTAACTCCCCAGATCCCCAGACCTACTACTGTTGCAGGGATGCAGCTCCTTGAGGAGGTTCATATTTCCACCCTGAAGTCAATGCTCAGAGCAAATGGACCTGAGCTTGTTAATGCACCTCTTCTGAGATTAGGCATTTAGGTTTAAAAGGCTGGGTTGATTAGATTAGCGGGATGCTTTGCTTTCCCTGCACACGAGGGATTCCAGATCCAGGAAACCTCGCCCGCTGCCTTTTCAGAAATGCAGCGAGGAGGGGAGGAGAGGGAACTGGGTAGAATCAATTTCTGTAATTCATCTGTAGATGAACACATTAACCACAGCGCAGAGAGCTGCGTGGTGCCCTTTAACAGAGACTCCTTCATATGCTGGTAAGGGGGAGGCTTTAAGGAGGTCATAACCTTCCTTCTGGAGCTGGCCCTGCTTCCCTCCTGTCGAGATGCCAGATGCCATGATGTATGGTACTCACAAGCTTCTGGCTAGGCTCCCAGTTCCATACTTGAGTGCTACTCCAAGAGCAGTGCTAAGCTGGGTATGTTACATCACATGCCACAAACAGGGCTCAGCCTTCCGCTTGGCCTAGAGATCTGTCAGTCATAACATCATCGTGATGTTGTCCACCAAGATGGCTCCCAAGTGACCATGAATGGGACTGTGGCTTTTTTTTTTTTTAAAAGAAGCTACAAACATTAAACGGGAAAAAACCCAGCAACTACCTAACACTTTCCCTCCTTTGCCCCACCCACCGAACCCGTCATGTCAGTGAGGAAAAGGCTGAGAATTCTAAGTGGCGCTTTGCCAAGGGCATAAAGAAGAGTATTACGCGATGCTTAGACCAACACCTGATCACTTGAACCTTCTGTTCCCTGGGACCCCTGGTTCTCACCTCTCCCCACCTCCGGTCCACTGCAAAACACCACCACTCTAGCCATCTTCTTTATCCAGGGCTCTCCCCTCCTCACACTCACTCGTTGGCAGTCTCCTAGTGTAACCCACCAGTGTAGACATGTTACAGGTCTCCCTCTAGTCTGATCCACCTGGGATGTGAGTTGTTACAACTCCCCCTTAGGGAGCGTTGGCTCTTTAGCCACTCATGATTTCCACTCTGGAGGTCCCCAGTTCAAGCCCCAGTCCGTCAGCCCAGACGACGGCTGTCTTACTACCACATCAGATCATCCTCCTCACCTGCGAGGCCCCAAACAGTCTGACTCCCACCTGTGTCTCTGCTCCCATATCCTTGCAATCGTCTGTCATCTCAAACAAACATCTCCCCAATTGCATCCCCTCAGTCACTCTGGAGAGCTAGGGCCAGATTGTCCACTGCCCTGACCCCACGCTGTCACTTGCACGCCAGTCATTCCCAGGTGGATTCAGGAGCTTTTCATGCTCCGTTTGCACTGGCATAAATGACTCCACATGGCACAAGGGAATGGAGAAACCAGCCCGTGAAACCTCATCCCCATTTCTATCACGTGAGCTGCAGGGTGAGCTTGGGCAAGTTACTTCCCTTCTCTGTGCCTCTATTTCCCCAGCTAGAAAATGGGGGTAAAATAGGAACAATCCTAGCTGTTATCTAGCTCTTCTCATCAGGAGATCTCAAAGCACCTTACCCAGAAGGTCAGTATCATTACTCCCATTTTACAGATGGGGAAACAGACACAAAGGGAAGTGATTTGCCCGAGGTCAGCCAGTCACACACTGACAGAGCAGGGAATAGAAATCGTGTCTCCCGAGTCCCACCCCAGTGCTCTAACCACTAGGGAACGCTGCCTCCCATGCTGCTGCTCAGTGGCCTTGTGCGTGTGTTCGATGGAAGTTATTTCTGAGCCCAGAACAGAGCTGAAAGCCCCACATCATTCAATGGCCAGGCAGCCTTTTTAAACCTATTTAAATAGCTACCCAGCTCACTGGGGGAGGATCATTTAACTAATAGCCGTAAAGCTCTTTGAAAAAGCAAAGCTCTATATAACTGCTTACACGGCCATCTCCGCTTGGGAAAGATCTTCCACTCCCTGGCCAGCAATATTGTTATTACCCATTTGAATTGTGGTAGCATCTCTGAGCCCCAGTCCTGGACCAGAACCCCACTGGGCTGTTGTACAAACACAGAACAAAAAGACAGGCAGCCCCTTCCCCCCCCAAGAGCTGTTCATTTAAATAGCTCTCTTCCCCTCCTACAAATCCTTTCTTAAAATCCATTTCTTCCAGCAATCTTCTTGCTTTCCTCTGGAGTCAGCTCTCTGCAAACCCCCTTACCTGGATCATTGTGCCAGGTTTCGCTTACCTTACACAAGAAAAGGATCTCACTCTGGGTTTGCAAAGCCCTGTGACAATGTAAGATACTATTGTAACAGAGTTTTTACAGAATTGCCAAGGGCCTCCCAGAGCATTGGCTGGGACACTCTTTTATTACGGTTCGTATAAATCTAAATAAATAAATGCAACAGATGCTTAATGATAATCACTAAAATGGTTTATCTTGCAAGCTCCTTGTAGTAGGAACTCTTTCCCTGTGTGATTCCACACCACCTAATACAACTGGGCACCACGTTAATGAAAAGATTAAAAACTGACGGGGGGGGGGAGGGGAGAGGAGGGGAGAAGAACACGTTCTGCGTTTTTTACAGTTAAATTGCACCTCAAGCAGCTATTCTGATGTTGCACCTGCCCTTAGTTAAGGGTCTCTGGGTGTCCAGGCCCTACTCCTCTATTTTCTGGGGTTTATTACACAGTGGCAGGTAGACACGTGTCATTTTCACCGCAGGGTCCAATTTCCCATTTCCAGGCCGCAACGTTTCTTATGGCAATTGCCAGGTTTTATCCTTATCCTTCATCTGGCCTTTTATTAACATGCTGTGAGGGCGTTCTCTCTCTCTAACCACAGGTGCTGCATTGCTGATCAGACTGCGTGACTATGGAGTCAGTGCAGCAGATGGGAGGGGTCAGCGTGTAGACACTTAGAATCATAGAATCTCAGGGGTGGAAGGGACCTCAGGAGGTCGTCTAGTCCCACCCCCTGCTCAAAGCAGGACCAATCCCCAGGATTTTCACAGTGCTAGCTGTGAGCGCTCCGCCCGGACACGGGGTACACTGTGCAGACTGTACACTCTGTAACAGAGCATCCTAAGGGCCCAGCCATGTCGCCCTTACAAGGCACTGGTACTGAAACATCCTCGGCCATGCTCCAGCAGCCTGCCTCACACTCTTCCCAAATTCCCCGCAATTGCTTCCGTAGCCACTTCCTTCTCTGTTTCCTACACGCCCCACCTGGAAGACTGTGGTCATGCCATCGATTCCTCCTTCCTCTCATCTGCCATAGCCCCTCATTCTTCCCCCTCCTTCTCAGCTTCAGCCTGCTCGCACTCTACTCCCTCCTTCGTCTCTCCCTCAGCCGGGTTCGGAACCATCCCTCTGGACTCTTCTTCCTCTCTGACTGATTTTTCCATCTGCCCGTCTCTCCTCATTCACAGGGACTTCAACCGTCACACTGATGGCCAGTCTTAGCTAGCGGCCTTCCAGTTCCTCTTTCTCACCAGCTCTGGACTGTCCCTCCCACTCATCTTCAGGTCATGCCCTCGGCCTGCCCTTCTCAAAGCTCCGTCCAGTTCTGACTTCCCTCTCTGTGAAGTCCTTCACCCCTGTGTCCTCCTCCTAGAATTTTCATTTGTCTCTCTCTCTGACTTCCCTGCTGCTCGCCATCTGTCCCAACCCACGCTTCATGCTATGGTGTTGTCTCTTATCCCAGCAACCTCTACTGATCTCACAAATAAACAGCTGCACATCAGAACCCCAATCATCTTGAAATCAAAAGTCACTGCATCCAGCCAGCGCCATGAGTGCCTGGTTGCCAGTTACAATGCAAAAGTGACACACACACACACACACACACACACACACACACAAACTGGGGGCCTGAGCTGCCTCTTACACACACTGGTGTAAACTGGGAGTAAATCCATCCAATGGAGCTATAGTGCTGTAAATGAAAGGAGAATCTATCTGGTTGCCAGTGCACATGTGTGCACCCAAGCGTTCTGCGGCACTGAGAGAAGGTGGGCCGGGAGGGAGAGAAGGAGTGGAAGGGGAAAAAAGAAAACAGAGCAGGAGGGAGAAAGGGGTCTAATATAGAAGGCTGTGGTGTAATCAGCTAGAATAAAGCCAGAAAACACAGAGGAAAATAAGAATCAGAAAACTAAGGCCTGGTCTACACTACAACTTTAATTCGGATTTAGCTGCGTTAATCCGAATTAATCCTTAACCCGTCCACACAACGGAGCCAGTTACTTCGAATTAAAGGGCACTTAAAATCGATTTCTGTACTCCACCCCGACGAGCGGAGTAGCACCAAAATCGATTTTGTTAATTCGAATTAGGGGTAGTGTGGCCGCACACCACCGAATTAATGTGGTTAAAAACCGAATTAATGTGCTTAGTGTGGCCGCGCACAATCGAATTTATACAATCTGTTTCCCAAATTCGAATTATCTAAATTCGAATTAATCTCGTAGTGTAGACATACCCTAACTTGAATGGAAAAGAGAAATTGAAGAAGACCGAATGAACGTAGAGACAAAAACTGGAAATTGTATTAATCAAATGTTACACACAAATTAGCCTGGAAAAAACAGAAACAGGCTCAGTACACAATAGTTTAGGACAGGAAGTGAAGAGTACTGGGCCAGTGAAGCTGCACGGACTTATAGCAGCAGAAAACTGGGCCCACTACATCCAAGTCAAACTGCAAGGTGAATAAGGGAGACAGAAGGTAATTATTCCAGCTGGAATTTTGCCAGGATACCTCTGGGTCAAGAGGTCATCACTAGACAAGCTCCTGGACTTTGGCTTTAAGTCTCATCACAAAAAACCCTGTGGAATTCAACCTTTCTTACGTAGGTCAATTCTCTGAGAGACAACACTAGGCCCTCAAATGGATAACGTGTGCCCTGCTGACTTACTGAGGGAACAGCAGCAGCTCAATCTCACCTGTTTCGTTCGAGAAGCAGGTTTTATGAAACTTCCCCATGTAGAACTCCAGCCCAATGATGGCGAACATCACAATAGCAAAGAAGAGAAGCAGCCCAATCTGGAGCAAGGGCACCATGGCCTTCATGATGGACTTGAGGACAACCTGCAAACCTGTAGGAAGCAAGGAAATTATTGTAGTCAGTGACTGGAGAAAAAAGGGTTTTTTGGAGGGCAGGGGAGTTTGGATTTTTAATAAAATCCTCTGGATTGGCAATGTCCTGCAATGCCTCTTTCTTCTAGGTCATTGATTCAAAGCTCTCCCTGCTCAGTAAGGATTAAGGCTCCAAACCAGATCCCATCAAAATCTTCCAATTAGCATCAGTGGGAGCCAGGCCAGGTCCTAAAAGCTGTTCAGTGGCTCATGTGAAACGTGTTGGTGGTCTCAAGCCAGTCCCCAGAGCATGGGTCCAAATACCAAAAAAACTACTGCCACAATTGGCGTGAATTTAGCACTCTCGTTTCCCACAGAGGCCAAGGAGTCAGTGGGTCAGAGAGAGCATCGTGGTAAGTCATAGTCACTGGGCCAGGTGGGGAAAAGCAAGAATGCTTTACAGCCTGGTAGTTAGCACACTCGCCGGGGAGGTGGGAGACACAACTTCAAGACCCTACTCCAGAGACTATAAATATTGATAAAAAGTGGAACAGCTTCAAGAGGGGAGTTTGAGAAAGCCCAATACCAGAATATCCCATTGCCAAATGTGCAAGTTTAAATGCCTACTCTACATCAGGTAGAGAGGGGAATTGAACCTGCGTCTCCCACATCCCCACTGAATGCCCTAACCTGGGGATTAAAGCTTATAAAGGGAGCCAACATCATCACCGCCTCCTCCCCTCCCCTGTCATTTTTAGGACTCCTTTCCTTTGCTTCTGACAAAAGCCTGAAAAATCAAAACAGAATTTTTGCGGGGCCAAATGAAACATTATCGACGTTACCGACATACGTAGACTTTTTCAGTTTGGTTGAAACAATTCGGCAAACTCCACGCAAATTTGCAAATCATTTCAGTCAACCCCAAGTGCATTTTTCAGTGACTAAATGATTAGTCGGAAAAATTTTGCCCTGCTTTAAGTGAGACCCATTTATAAACAAAAAGGCAGTGGTGTCACTACATTTAGCATACCCATCTTGTGGCTAACCAGAGGCCTGCAATCTCTGGGGCTTCCAACCTTGGGCCTTTTCACCAGCACTCAAATTCAGTTTCAATTAAAACAGGGGAGAAAAGAGGAGAAGGCAAAGAGATAAAGCTGTCAGATAATTTTATGCAGATCTGCATAAGGAAAGCAATGCCCTATTAATCACCTGTTTAAAGCTACCTTGGCTGTGGGGCCCACACTGGAGCAATGGGAATAAAGGATCATCTTTGTCCCACTGCCTTGTAAAACTTAAGTGAGGTCAACACAGAAGTGCATAGAAAAACACTCATCTGGGCTGGGAAAAAATACAGACACATGGAGAGAGCATATTAGGACAGCATTCAGCACATCTAAGGACTGTGTGTGTATTGCAGGGGGGAAGAATTATAAAGCTCTCAGGTGCCAAAGCAGCCTTTAAATTGTATAGCAGAGCTATAGTATGTCTTAAATCTATGGCAGCGGTGGCCAACCTGAGCCTGAGAAGGAGCCAGAATTTACCAGTGTACATTGCCAAAGAGCCACAGTAATACGTCAGCAGCCCCCCCATCAGCTCCCAGTGCCTCCCACCCACTAGCAGCCCCGCCAATCAGCGCCTCCCCTTCCCTCCCGATCAGCTGTTTCGCAGTGTGCAGGAGGCTGGGGGGGGAGGGAGGAGCGAGAGCACAGCAGGCTCAGGGGTGGGGGAGGGAAGGGGTGGCAGGGCCAGGGGTTGAGCAGTGAGCACCCCCCGGCACACTGGAAAGTTGGCACCTGTGGCTCCAGCCCCGGAGTCGGTGCCTATACAAGGAGCCGCATATTAACTTCTGAAGAGCCGCATGTGGCTCCGGAAGCACAGGTTGGCCACCCCTGATCTATGGTTATGACTCTGCTCAAGGGGCGGAAGAGTTGTGGCTGGCTGGATTAAATTGAATGTCTGCTTTCATAAGGCATAAGTGCCCATGAAACAAAACGTGGCTGTTTTCTGGTATGTAAGTATCAAAATGGGAGATTCTCTCCCACCAGATAATCAGTTTTAGAAAGTTGGCTGGGGCTCTAGACTATTCAATGGAAGGGTGTAATGTTGTGGTTATAGTGAGGTGAAATTCGCCCCTATGCAGCCAGCCAGCACACAGCCTCTGTGCCACGGAAGTCCCACTCACACTCTCAGAATAAGGCGTACGCTGGACTTATGTGGTGCATACTCCTTGTGCTGATCTCTCTGCTCAGGGATGCCTTTATGCAATGGAGAGGTGAGTTGTTCTCCTTTAAGAAACTCTCGTATCTGTGATCTCACCCTCCCCGCAGTTCCTATATGGGATCATGGTTATTTTATTCAACTTGCTTTGGTTTTTCATATGAATTTCATGCTAGAGAAAGGTGCTGGATTTACAGCCCTGGGGAGTGGAAGCTGCTCTTCATCCACCCACAGCATGGGCAATGGCAGGACAATCCTTCCCCGCACTGTCAAAGCACCTCACGAGTGGGCTAGGAAGAAGGGTCAGTCAGTGGCCTAGTGGATAAAGCCCTAGACTGGGATGTAGGAGATGTGAGTTCCAGTCCCAGCTCTGATTTATCAAGTGATCTTAGACAAGTCATTTCAGCTTAGTTTCCCCTCCAATGCTTTATCCTGTCTACTTACATGGCCTTGTACACTCAAAAAGCACTTGTTGATTGGTGCTTAACAGATCAAGGGCATTTCACTATGACTATTAATTTCAAATAAAAGCAGCAAAGAGTCCTGTGGCGACTAATAGACGTATCGGAGCATGAGCTTTCGTGGGTGAGTACCCACTTTGTCGGATGCATGTAGTGGAAATTTCCAGAGGCAGGTATAAATATGCAAGCAAGAGTGAGTCAGGCTAGAGATAACGAGGTTAGTTCAATCAGGGAGGGTGAGGTCCTCTTCTAGCAGTTGAGGTGTGAACACCAAGGGAGGAGAAACTGCTTTTGTAGTTGGCTAGCCATTCACAGTCTTTGTTTCAAATTAATTTCAAATACAGATTAAGAAATAAAGGCCAGCTTGTCACAAGCCCTTTCCGTCTGGATGGGAAATGCCTATGTAATCTGTGCTCCCAAAAGGACACTGCTGTCTCAAGTTTCCAGGCAGGGAAACGCATTCCTCATCAGCTCTGCACAGCCCCTAGTGTTTTGGCTGCAAGAAACCATCTCTGGAGCAGAGCTGGAACACCAGGGTGCTGTTTGAGAGGAGGAGAAGGATGCTAATGAGTTAATCCGGATGAACAGCTGAGCTTCATGTGAGTGCATCCCATTTAAAAGGGAAACAATTTCCTCTCACTGCCTCATGCTGCATGGAAAATGCTTCCGTTCCAAATTCAGCAAGGGAAAAATGAACAGATATCACTAGGAGTCCCCTGTATTTCTACAGTGCCCCTCACCAGAGCATTTGGGCCCTTCAAACTAACACAAAGTATCAAGTTGCCTATGGTGAAAACCTGATTATAGAGACTGTCCCTTTATCCGCCTTGCCCTTACCTGGTGTTACTTACAGGCCTGAGTAACATGGGAGGCCAGACCCATATTTGGTGTTAACTGCCTTAGCTCCAGCTAAAGATCTCCCTTGGGAATTCTAGCACTGGGGGGCCAGAAAGTTGGCAAACTTGGCATCTGGCAGTGCTTGGAGTACAGATCAAGCCCCAGAGTGAAGAAGTCTCAAGCACCAAATCTGTGAAGTTCCAATCCTGGGGCCTAATGTGGTAGCACTTTGCACTCCCTTTGCATAGGTGTAAATGCTGACACATGACACAGAGCAATGGAAAATCAGGTCCCAGGCATGGAAAGCCAGGGCACCAGTGCGATAGGAAGCAGGGGGAAGACTATATAGTCCAGAGGACACAGACCCTAAAGGCCAGAGGGCCTCACTGACAACGACAATGATGTTGCAATGATTCTTGTTACACTTACTTGGGATTCCTGACACCAACTTCAAAGGTCTCAATACTCGAACGGCTCGCAGGGTTCGTAGGTCAAAATCAGTCCCAGCGGTGGCTAGAATCCTGATTTAAGACAAAAAGGGGCGGGTGTGGGGAAAGGTGAGAAAGAGAGAGAAATTGAATTAAATGTAAGTTTTCCAAAATACAAATAAATGAAGCATGATAACAAATTCAGGCCACCTAGGACTTTATGGTGGTCATTACACTGCATTCAGTAGCCAGTAAAAACATACAATGCTCCTGAGTCACATATCCCTACTACTCGAGTTAAAGGAAAATCTCCATTAGCTCTCTGCAATATAGAGACTATGAGACACAGTTGAGCAGTTCTGATTCCATCCACTAGAAAGGAGTGTCCCATGTACACAGACACACAAGTACCAGTGCATTTATATAACGCAAGCTTTGCTTTTTTTTAAAAAAAAAAAATGTTTTTTACTTTTTGTTTTATCTGATTTTGATGTTTTCCATTTAATCTTGAACAATTTTACCCCCTTCAGTTACATGAGTTCAAAATTATTAACTTAGCCTTCTGGAGTCACCTGCCTTGCTCTTTAGGAGATTGTGGAGTCACCCCACAAGATCCTGGGTGTGGGGAGGAATTCACACAACACACAACCTTGAATTTTGAAAATTTCCAAGTATGAAAAATTTCAGCCACCTCTATAATTGGTCCAAAAATCAGGAGGCTAGAGGAATTACGAAAAAAAAATTCTAACTTTTCTCACCCACTCCCCATCCCACCAAAAAACCCCTCCAAATTCAGAATGTTGATGACATTTTGAAATTTGCTCAGTCCTCACAGTTGGGGTCATATTTTCAAGAGCTCAGCTCCTATCGTGCACCTAGTATGAAATGTGCATCTAATAGGGCTCTTTTGAAAACTGGCCCCCGGTGTCCAGAAATCTGCAGGTCAATTACATCTTCGGCTGAGGGTCTCTATCTCTACCTACTGCACCAACTCCAGATGGAACCAACTATAGAGTTGGTTGAAATTTTTCAAATTCTGAAATTTCAATTGAATTTCAAAATTCAGGGAGGGGAGAAAATAGTCCAAGAACATTTCATTTCCCCCCCTTTTCCTACCCAAGGTCTCATGGGGGAATGGGGCAGTTGGCCAGCCTCCAAGTAAAGAAAGATGGCACCTTCTTCCATTTCCAGTGAGATGATAGGAGAACACATCCCTCTGTCACACCATAAATTATCCCCTAACAAGGCTATAGTGTGAGATGCTTTATTAGAGACTCCATAATGCTGATGGTTTCTTTGAACTAAAGCAGTTCCTGTTGTGTGTGTTTACTCTATGCATGTGTAAATGTAAGTTTGGTCCAAAACACCCTACTTTAGAGAAAGGAAATCAACAAGAAAAAAAAAAGTAAAGTCTCCCTGAAAGAGCATGGTGTGAGCATATATCCTGTAACAGTCTGCAATAACGCTGAGAACAAAATGGCTGCCATCTTGGCAGGCAGACAGTTCATAGACACTAAAGGGCATCATACACAGACAACGAAAAGGCATCACAGTTTCAGGCTATCCTGAGTGCACCACATTTCACTCCAGCACCAAGGGAAGAAAAGAGGGCAAAGGATCCAAAAGGCATCAGGAATGCAATCTTCCCTGAGCAAGGAAATTGGAACCTCTGGTTGCCAGCCAACTTAGACACTCAATGCCCCCTCAATGACAAGAGTAATTATTCCAGCTCTTCCTTTGGTGTTTCAACAACGAAAATGTTAAGATCTGGGGAAGGAAGATCCCCTGTAACACACATCCACTGAAGAAAACAGCTCAGAAGGGAAAAGCACCTCACCAACTCCCTCTTGAGTGCTCCCTTTAAAGTCGTTGTAAGCAACATCTGTTAATTTTGATAGGATTGTTGTGAGGCTACTTTAACGGAGGGAACAAAAGGAAGGTGCGGATGAACTAGCCCTGCCAATGGAGTCTGCAAGACCCAATGTTACCCAGGCCCAGCCATTTTTAGCCATTCTTGCTTCCTGCCCATGCAGCCATCACTTCTGTCATTGTCTCCTTCCCAGACGGAAAAAATATCCTCGTGCACAGAGGTCAGTAAAGCAGTCTGGCCCAACATCATGCAGATGTGTTCATGCACTGCCCTTTGCCACTGGAGAGCTGGGTTCAAATCCTGCCTTAGGAGAGCAATTAAGGGGGGGAAATTCTTGACAATACAACTCTCTGCCTAGCGATCTACATAGGCCTCAAAGCTAGGCTCAAGCAGGAGAGGTTCCTATGCAACCAAAGCGTTGATGAGACAAGCCCAAGATGTTATTTCCATCATCCGTCTAGGATTCCGTTGAAAGTGAGGCTCATTTTAGTCCATCCCTGGACACGTGCCCAGATCACAAACCCGCTAAGCAATGCAGCACAATTTACACTCTCTCCAAAGGTCTTGGCTAGCAGAGGTTGTCACAAGTAGCATTAAGATGTATCACCAAAGCTGTGAGAGATTCCAGCGGTTGTAATAGCATAGTGGATGCTTTAGGTCAGGGGAAAGCTATACAAAAGCCTGGGACAGGAATAATCAAGGGTTTGGCAGACAGGACTGGGGCGTTGTCTACACCAGAAGGGTTGCTGGTATGGGTAGATCGGCAAACCCGCCTAGTGTAGATGCAGCTGACACAGGCAAAAGAGTGCTTTTGTCAGCATAGCTTATACAAGTTCCCCAAATGAAATAAGCTATTACCAACACAAGGACTTTTCTGCTGTGTAGCTGCCTACAGTGGGGCTTTTGCTGGCACAGCGACGCCGGCAAAATCACACCCCTGCTAGACAAAGCTATGCCTGCAGAAGTTTTCAGTGTAGCCCCGGCATGCAATACATTGGGGAGCCCAGGACTGAAGGAGCAGGAGGTGCTAAAGTCAGGATCTGAGTGCCTGGGCAAAGCAGGGTGAGAGCCCCGTCCAGGCATAGCAGGGGCTGAATGAAGTGAGCTGGGGGCACCAACCCACGTTACAGCTGTCTCTAGCCACTATGACTAGCCCTACATCTTCCCAATGAACTGGAGCGACCAGAAAAGAATGAGAACTTATTGTGAGTGACTGTCATCCGAGCCCAAGCTACTGAAGATCATTTAAACCAGGGGTTGGCAACCTTTCAGAAGTGGTGTGCCGAGTCTTCATTTATTCACTCTAATTTAAGGTTTCGTGTGCATACATTAATGTTTTTAGAAGGTCTCTTTCTATAGGTCTATAATATATAACTAAACTATTGTTGTATGTAAAGTAAATAAGGTTTTAAAAATGTTTAAGAAGCTTCATTTAAAATTAAATTAAAATGCAGAGCCCCCTGGACTGGTGGCCAGGACCCGGGCAGTGTGAGTGCCACTGAAAATCAGCTCATGTGCCATAAATTGCCTACCCCTGATTTAAGCCAATAGCTATCGCATTCGGAGGCATTGAATTTGAAGCTTTCATGCTCACGCTGCCATTCTCCTTCCCCCCCCCCCCCCCCCACCATGCCAGTGCTCATGTGTCAAACCTTTGCAGCCTGGCAGCGCCATACACTTCAAGCCTTAACCGTCTGCTTTGGCTGTGCCTGCCGAAGGTGCTCGTGGCCTCCAGTGGCTTTCACGTGGATTCACGTCGTCCTGACCCAGGCCCTTTCCTGTCTGCTACAGGCTGAGAGGAGGAGCCCTTGTGCTCTCACCGTTTGCTTTCAAACTTGTTGGAGAGAGACTGGGAGTGAACGCAGGAGAGAGTCAATTAGTCCCACGGCACCAGTGAGTGCCCCAGTGACAGCGCCGGCTGTCTCGCTGCTCAGAGGCGCCTCTTCACTCCCCTGACGTGTTCTTAAGAGGTTTGAAGTGAATAAAAACGCCCTGGTTTACGGCTTCCTGCACCCCCTTTAGTCAAGGATCTCAGCCACTCGCCTACCCTGTGCTGTTAATAACCATTTGCCCTACCCCAGTGTGTGACAATACAATTCCTGTAAGGCACTTTTCCGAATATTCTGCAATAATGCCATTTCTCCCACATAATTGCATGATAATATACAGCTCCTGTATGGCCAATTCTGCCACTGTGCGGCTTTGCAGTTCTACATGGAGAATAATACCAATCTCCAGTGAAGGGAAGGATGTAATTAACTGAAGGCTTCTGCTAACTTCATAAAATTCGCATAAGGGCTGTCTTTCTTCCCCCATTCCCTGAACTCAAGCTGTAAACCCTCAGAACCCTTTGTGGGCTGCGCTGGAGCAAGAAGGATTAATAAAAATGGGGGAGAAAGGGAGAGATCAAACGAGCCAGATGACAAGCATGACTTGAAAATCCTGCGGAAGCTTTTCTGTCTGCACGCGTAACAAGTGAGAACAAAGAGCAAGTAACTGAAGAGCCAGAGCTGGAGGAGGAAATTGACAGTGAGAATAAAAATAGTGGGAAAGAAGTTTTTAAGAGGCGACTTAGCAACAAGGGAAGAAATTGGGGCTGTACCTTTTCATGCTTCTTGATGAGTTATAAGGACATCTTGATGATTTGTAGGTTTGGGGAGGGTGGTTTCGGCTTGTTTTTTTACTTTAGAAATAGTAGGTCTTGACTTCCCTGCTGGAGGACTCTGTGGAGGACTGGGAAACCAGTGGGATTATGAAAGCACAAGAGACTGAAAGCTGAGCAGTTGTGCCAGGAAGGGACTTTTACTCAAGTGTGATGATTAGAGACTGACAACGGAGCTGCAGCACAAAGTCTTGCTGAAACAATACAGACTCTGCCTTCCCTAGAGAAACCTCGTTTTATTGTGAGGCATGTGTGGCAACTGATTTACCCCCATAGCTGTGTGCTGGGCTGCACGTTCCCCCTCACTGCGACTCCTGCAGGATATTGGAGTGTTTTGGAACTACCTGAGTAGATCAGGAACTGGTCAAGTCAAGAAAAATCCTTGGGATCCGCAATTATATCAGTCCATCTAGTCCAATACCCAGTGTCCGACAGTGGCCTGCCAGTACCAGCTGCTTCAGAGGAACATGCAACAGACCCAGGCAGTGATGGGAAAACCTTCCCCCAGGAAAAGCTCTTCCCTCCCAACCCCAGTAGCCACAGGTTGACTTATGCCCCGAG